CTTTGCCATGAGGAAACCCACGGTCAGACTCTCATTTAGGTCTATACGACATATTTTGCCTTTGACCAGACACACGACTGTCTTCATTGTTCGTTGGTGACTTCGTAGAGCGGAAGTTTTGACAAATGAGTATTTCTGCGATGTGTAGTAATTTCACTTGCCATAGTTCTACAGATTTCATCGCCAACTGCTATTCTTTTTCTCGACCAGCACAACATTGTTCATGTTCGCGGTCTAAGACTGTCACTTGACAAGGTCAGTAACCATCCGCTAGTGACGCCGAAGGGTAGGGTCGCAAACAACGGTCGAAATAGATTGGTGGGTTCTGAACTGCAGCACGATCATGATGAATCCAACGCAGATTGAATCATCGCTTTCAATCTGAAGTGCAATCGGCGTATATACTGTATCGAGTCATCTTCATGTTGCGTGAGTGCTGTGCTTAATCCACTGAGCTATAGTAGCGCAACTATTGTTCAGTGAATGATGCACATAAATAAGCATGCGGTCAGGCGGAGACCGCATGCTTAACGTTATTGTCATGTTGAATACATCCCCAAAGACAGCCATGAATGCCGTACGTCATATACAGCTCATTCCACGACCACATGCGAATGTAGAGTGGACGATGGGTGCTCCCTTCGTTGAAATCGGACCAGGGCATCGACTATGTAGTCATCCTCGTTGGAGTTTGTTTCAACGACACCACACCACCGACCGGCACGTCTGAGGCTCGGCGTTGGTTCGCCTTTGGGTCTAACATCAACTTCGCGTGCCTGTGTGGCAAGGGTTTACACCTAACTCTGTTACGACTTGACGTACATTTTGGTCGTATTAGTTGATTTGTCGTTGTATGGAGGGAGACCCATTGCATTTATCGGCTTGGAAGTGCTCCGAATCCAGTCCACATCGTGAATGGCTCGGCTGTGAAAACATAGGACACAAAATCAAAATTTAAAACCGATAGAAACGGTATAACACAAAGGCTAGGATTAGTTGATACGACGAATCTACTCCGCAAACACGCTGTATTGGAAGCGATTTTGGTGCTCCTTCACCTTGGATTCACAAAAGCACTTGAACGCTTGTCCCAATGCCGCAACAAAAGGAAAGACGGACGCGAACCCAACCAACACGCAAATGCCCATGTCGTTCGATGTGGGGCACAGACAGTCGCCTTCGCAAGACAGTCGCTTGTGAATGCAGGCGACCCCAAGCACCAATAAAAATGAGGCAACAAGGACGCAAATGTTCACGCAACCGCAGTTTCTCGCCCATCCTACAATTTGTAAAGCATAGGACCTCGAATATATCTTTAGGTCCCACTCACGCTCATATTTCAAAGAGTCCATAATGTGGCGCGGAATGATCACAATCACATGCACTCGACCCTCTTCTGGTGCCACAGGAAAGGCAAACGTCGCGGCATTGATGAGGTCGGAAGGTGCCATGACAACACTCATCATGCTGTTGATCTCTTTCGAGCTGAGCTTTTTCAGCTCTTTCCTCGTCAACCAGCCGACTTGTTCAGGTTGTTTCGCTACGCACAGCTTCAGGTAGTCGACAGGGCACGCACATCCCAGGTCAGTGTGGACGCGCTTCGTTAATTCCAAAACAGTGTCAGTACCGGGGACGTCAACAGTAACGAGGCGCCACGCATCGCCAAGTAAACAAGTCACGCGCAGCATGACGAATGTTGAATGGACAAAAGGATTTCAAATTGTGTTGGACGAATTCACTGAAGACTCCAGCACATATCCATCAGATCGCGTTGAACTGGTCTGCCTACTCAAAGACGTGACGCCTCTACCAAATGGACTACTGTTAATGGTGTTAGTATGTGCAGTACATACCGTAGTTGTTTCATCAATTGACAAAATACTACTTCGAAATAGTAGAATAAAATACCGTTGTGATGCTCGAACGTTATGTGCGTCGACCACTTAGTCGTGAGCGTCATGTCAATGATGAAAAAGCACTGGGCTATGTACGCCTTGTCTGCAATTTCAGACCCTGCCATCGGCTTCCCGGACACTGAGGCTGTTGAAGGTGATGAACGTATTAATAGTATTAATTAATTAATACTAGTACCCACTGCATGCCGTATACCGTAGTATGTACTACGTAGTACTACTAGTAGTACTTCGAAGTACCAGGTATACGTAGTACCACTTTTTCAAAATGGGAATATTTCATATCAATTCATGGCTTTGTAGTACCAGTAGACAAATGCATACTTTCAAATAGCCAATTCCAAGAGCAATCTGAATATGAATTCAGGCGGCTGTTTGTCCTAACTTTGTGGAAGAAACCCTAGAAAGAAAATAGGAATGATGATGAATTCATCAATTAGTTTTGATAATTAATATCTGATTTGAGTGTTGAATCATCCATAGATAGAGGTTTCGGTTCACATACGTGGTACAGTACAGTTTGCCATAAACTGTTTACTGTTAATTTGATAGAAATTGTACGTAGCTGGTACTGGGAATAACAGTGGACAGAGGTAGTACTACCGGTAAGCTTACTGTGAGTAAAGTACTACCGTACTACTATTAATATTAAAATAGGTACAATAGACCAGAACTACAGTAAGCTTAGTGCGTTACTTCAATTCGTACTATTAATACATACGAGTACAGTTGCGGTCTCCGCCTGACCGCATGCTTATTTATGTGCATCATTCACTGAACAATAGTTGCGCTACTATAGCTCAGTGGATTAAGCACAGCACTCATGCAACATGAAGATGACTCGATACAGTATATACGCCGATTGCACTTCAGATTGAAAGCGATGATTCAATCTGCGTTGGATTCATCATGATCGTGCTGCAGTTCAGAACCCACCAATCTATTTCGACCGTTGTTTGCGACCCTACCCTTCGGCGTCACTAGCGGATGGTTACTGACCTTGTCAAGTGACAGTCTTAGACCGCGAACAGGAACGATGTTGTGCTAGTCGAGAAAAAGAATAGCAGTTGGCAATGAAATCTGTAGAGCTATGGCAAGTGAAATTACTACACATCGCAGAAATACTCATTTGTCAAAACTTCCGCTCTACGAAGTCACCAACGAACAATGAAGACGGTCGTGTGTCTGGTCGAACGCAAAATATGTCGTATAGACCTAAATGAGAGTCTGACCGTGGGTTTCCTCATGGCAAAGATCAAGGAACAGAAACCATCGCAATCGTTTTGGATGGATGTATACCTGATGAAACGAAACGGCAAGTGGCTCAAGTCGGGGGACCCTGATGCCCAGGAGTTCATGCGACTTGGCCAATCGAATGGCATCCGAGCCATAATGAAAAAGCACGGGGCTATGCACCCCTTGACTGATATTTCAGACCCCGCCATCGGCTTCCCGGACACTGAAGCTGTTGAAGATGACGACATCCACGTCCTTGTGCATACTCAATCACCGGACGCTCGCCGGCGTACTAGTAAGTTGCAACTCTGTTTTGTCTGGACTAATGTGTTGTTGGTGTTGTCTCAGTTGAGTTGTGGATACTTGGCGAACCGTATCATGTGACGGCTTGGAATTGGCTGCGTAAGCGCTTGAAGTCCAAGAAAGCAGCCCTGGCTGCGAAATAGGACGCCTGTGTACGACATCCATTCGACGTTGATTTCAGTTTGGTATGATGGAGGAGATTGAGCAATCAACCTGACAGCAGCGGCAAGTGGGCGCAATTGTAATGAAGCGACTTTACCATAATTCGAGCTAATCGTATGCCATTTGCCTGCACGAGATCGTTGGGGTTTAGTTCATGCTGTAAAGTAGACAACATCGCAAAGAATTGGTAACTACGGTAGTCGATGCGTTGTTGGAACGATTAATTGTCAACAGACTTGGTGGAATTTACACGTTTTCTATCGGTTTGAGAGAAATAGTCATGGGAATGACAACGCCGAACGAATTTTGCATCCCCAGCGGTGAAAACGGCGAATAATCCGCATAACAGGCCCGTCCGGTTATGGTGGCTATACTGACGGAAGCATGGAACAACGACGACAACGACACACTGTAGACAACGAATTGGACCCTACGCTCAAGTAATCCCAACGTACATAGTGATACAAATTAGAGTTCATGTTGATGAGGACGAAACTGGGATTTCAAGCTGCATGGAGGGTCAATTTGCCTACTTGTTGACCTCGAAAGGTACAATAAATGCTCACGAGCAGTTGTCGCGTCAACCCAGTCAGTAGGGGTAGTCAAAGGAGGCAACTCTGATCTCAATTGCGCTGCATTTGCTCGAACCAACCGTGCTTCTGGGAGCATCTAACTACCGAGATATCCATGCTTGTAATTGATTGGTAAAAATACTTCAAATAGTAGTCAATGATTGGCTCCTGTATTTTGCCGTTCGGTGTTCACAAAACAATAAAAATGGCCGATTTGCCGTCTCTCGGTAAACGTATGCCGTTTCTGGTTGATACCGTTGCACCGTTGGGGTTACCAAAACTGCATATTTGACCTCAAGAACAGTAAAATAGCGTTTACCGTCGCACCATCGGGGATGCCCTTACAAAGCCACCTCAAAGCTGTTACATGGTAAGGTATTCCATAGGGTAATTGCTCCGACATTGTGCCGACATCTCCAACATACGGATAACAGGTATCTCCGGATAAGGACAAATCTAGCCAATCAACGTGAAGGAGGGAAAATCCATGGACGGTTTCGCTCCCATGGAGGCAATGAAATATCCGAGTTAAATGACGAGAATGATGGCATCAGGCTTTCAGCTTGACAATTGTTTTGAGTAACCTATCGTGCTTCAGGTAACACCAATAGCATCTTGTGCCCTCGCCCCAGTCCTGCGTGAGGCCAGAATGTAGCACTTTCAAAAATGAATGTTTTGTCGGAGTTGTTAAGAATATGCCAGCTCTGCGAAATTGACTTGATTTTGTATATAAGGAGCCATATTTTTAAATCTTCTCCGACAAATATGTCGGAGTTGTCGGAGCCCGGCCTAAAATATCGGTAAAGCGTTTTTGATTGGCTAAAGGGCTGAAATACCAAAAACAAATTCATGCATTGGTCAAAATGGTAAAATGGTGCATACAAACACGAAGTAATGTCGGAGTAACCGTCATATTCATCCATACAACATTGTTCATCATCACCATTCAAAACGCTAGAATCAAATCGTGTTCAGGTTGAGGAAGAATGCAGCGGTTGACTACTTTTAATTGCCATTTTGAAGGATTAGTGTCTTCCTCAATCGATTCCACACTTTTGCTGGACTGTATACAAAGCAGTTGTATAACTTTTAATAATATGGCGTTATTTTTTTTGAATATACATAACAATCTATGCTATAATTATAGCTCAAGACGACAATAATTGTTTGCCACCTTTACGCTATATTTGAAGTTAACGCCGAAATGCTGCCTTGAATGTGCCGCTTCGTGGCTCAGAGATCGCCGATCGACGCAGTACATGGTAGCGCGTTTAAGGCATCGATACTACGTAATGAAGTGTCATGAACGGTGTTATAATGTACTACTATTAATAGTATTAGGTATAATCACACCCAAAGAAAGCCATATTTCAGTTTTTAGGCTTGTTTGAGGTCACTTCACGCATGCTAAATAAATGCAATCGCCGCACACCATATTTGTCTATATAGCCCGCAACCATGTCTTCATTTTCAAATTAACAGTAAGTCTATCACGCCCAGGTATGTCGCTGCTGAGAAATTCACGAAAAAGTCATGTACTTTCTGGATAGGAGGGTGCGGGAAATGACCAAAACAGCGTACGGCGAATTGGCAGCATACCAAGAAGGTTGATCGCACTAGCTCTTATAGACACACTAGTGGCTGAGGACTTTCGATTGGACTTTCGAGGAGACGCGATAACCAGGAACGCATGGTGTAGTGACTTCACTGTCAGCTCAATACTGTTCTGTTCGGTATTTTAATGGACCTGATATTTGAAATTTAAAAACCAATTACTTCGAGGTAACATAATAATAAAACATTGCTTCAAATATGACTTGAAGTTAGTCATAATTTATGATCAACTTCGTTAGTGAACTAAGAAAGTACTACCGTAGTACATGACTTTGGCATCGAATCTCTCCCTGACGGCTTGTCTACGAGCGGGGCAATGAATGTAGATATTGCAAACTTAGTTGCAGACTATCGTTCAAAGCTAGAAATGTGGTGATTGTAACGTTATAGCATGAGTGATGAATCCTCGAAGTAGCAAAAAACGCACATTTAACATACTGGTACTTTGTAAGTAAATACCTCGATGAATATAGCTCGTAGCGACCTCTATGATACATCATTATGTAGAGATAATGTTAATGAACACGCGATTTGAGTCTGGGGCTGGTTGGATTAAATTGGCGCATGATTTGTGGCTTTGAAAGTGGCTGTCTCAAATATAACATCCAAGTTAATCAACTTTTTAGCTATTTTTGCTTCCAAATTTAACATCACATAACATCGTTTTGATGTTTTGTTTTTAAAAATTCTATTCACGCCATGATAAAAATAATGAAACGGTTTCGTGTTTCGAAGAAAGTGCGCTTCCATGGAGCAAGGTTGACGACCAAATCACCATCGAAGATGCGACGACGAAGGTTTCTATCAACCAGGTGAAGTAAGAGCAAATCCGATCGTGTAATATTGCGATTATAGGCGGCATCAGCTCCATCGAGTTCGTTCTAATATGACCATTTCCCTTACCCTCCAGTCAAAACATTGTCATAAATTATGACAAACATAATTATTGTTAGGCCGAGTCTGGACCACCTTGCGAATTCCATAAATAATTCTGA